AGGGAGGTGGCCCACATGGAGTGGCAGACCTCTCCTGTCTCGCCTGCTTCTCCACTCAGCAGTGCCCTTCGTCCATCTGCCTGTTCTGCTCCCCACTCTGTCTCTGGTGAAGCCTCTCACAGCCCCTGTACCCTTGGCCTATACTCCTCTGGCCTGTACTCCAGTTCTGTATGCATGAATAAATGGAGCTTAAAAATAATTACAATATTAGCATAGCAGTCAGGAGGCCAGTTATTACAGTGAACACAGACCTACAATTAAATCCCACTTTTGCCATTTCCAACTTGTATTCTTAGACAAGTCTTACAGCTCCCAGATTTTTCTGTTTGTCTCTGCCCAAGTAAGTACTGAGGATTCAGTTAGACACTGTAAATAAACCATTTAACATATATATGTTGAGTACATATAACACCATACAATTTTTAGTTCATATTAATATTGGCTTGCTTTTTGAAAAAAACTTTCAAAAGCACACAATCTCTACCTTCCTACAATCTTGGTTCTGTTTGTAATTCATTCAGCATACTTTATAATTCTTTACTGCATTGTCTGATGAGTCATGTACTCCTTTTAAGAGACTGCTGTCACTATGAATTAACTAGAATAAAGATGAGTTGTTGTAGAATAGAGAATGACAGATTTTTCTGCTTCCTCAGACCTGCCTCTCCTGAAGTGTCCTGTCTCTTGTGAGCAGAGAATCGTAGAGGCAGGACATAGTGTGGTGGGGACCTGTGCCTTGCACATCAAAGTCTACCATGAAACTCTGTCAGTAATTTCTCTCATCTCCCACTCCCAGTTAACCTACAAATTTGGTGTAAAGGCACAAATGAAATCACTGGATAGAGATAATAGATGGAAATTGGAACTCAATTTCAGGCCAGTAGTGTGGAAATAGAAATGAGATACTCATCAGAGAAGAAATATTGTGCAATGTGGCAGGGTCTTTTGCCATAAGTGAGAGTTTCAAAGTTTGTTTTCTTTCTATTGAGCTTTCTTTTTTTTTTTTTATCTCATTGTTAATTTTTGGACAATATGATTATATTCCCCTCAAATGTGATCACTGTAGTTCCCCCACCACCAAAGCACCCATAGTTGGTTTCAAACAAGCTGCCAAACAATGGGTGATGTCTGAGGAGAAAAAACACACCTGACAGAGAGAACACAAATCAAAATAAATGAAAAGTCATTTAGTTAGTGCTATCACTGACTTTGCAAAGGAGTTACAATTTAGGTGAGGCTGCTTTCAATACTTCCAGGTAAAGAAAGGCTCTCACTGGTGAAGCAGCAGCCCCATCAACACAACAATTATATCTGCCTTGACAAAAATGTTGTCAGGTAAATATCTGTCTGTTTTGGTTTTCTTTGGGGTTCTCTCTTAGTCACATTCTCAGTGAATAAAGAGTTGATAAATAGATCCTGGGGTGTCACTAATGCTCTCCCTTCTCCACAGAGAAGCATACTTATAAACAGAATAATTTATCTTCAAAGAGCAAATCTGGGGTTTGGGGGGATTGGATGAAGTCATCATTTGCTTGCCCTTCTACAGCACTGTGGACCATCATCCTCTCTACATTGCTCTGCAAAAACTGAAGAAACTATAGGTCACACACACTTCTTTCCAATTTACTAAGGGTCTGCTTTTAATGCTGCCCAACTTCCTTTTTCTACTCAGCAATAATTCCAAGCATTACTGTCCATTTTAAATGGATACTAGATGAAGTATTTAAAAGCACAAAGGGAACTCCTAAAGATTGCTCTAAGAGCAGCCACTTCCCTTGTCTTTGGAGACTTCTGAATAGTAGAACAAATTGTAACTCTCTTTGTTACTCCTTACTTGATAAGGCCTCACATGCTCAGTCTACCTACTCCTTGACTCACAGGGTTGGCTACTGCTTTCCTGAGAACATAAATTCATGTTCCGTTAGGCAAATCTAAATGAACTAGGTGGGTTGCCTTTCAGCTGCCTAACTGTAGCTCTGTGTAATGAGGTCCCACGTCTTACAAGCTCAGTTTGTGAGTTCTCAGGAAAATCTGAGTGAATTGAAAATGAATAAAATGTGTTCTCTTTTAGATGGAGCTTAAACCTGAGTCACCATAATGAATTGAATGCACACATCACACTATTCCAATATCCTTCAAGCCTAATTCCAGAGGATGCTCATCTAGAGTTTAGATTCTATGGTAGTTCTGACCCAAAAATGGCCTGCCAGTTCAGCCAAAGTGGTGGTGGTTAGGGGCTCAAGCATCTGAGGACAGGGTTCTCACACATGGGTATTTTCAAACATATGCATCCCATTTAGGACCTTGTGCTTGAGAATAGCTCTGACTCCTGTGCAGAAAAACATGAAACTAACATACTCCTCTCAGCTGTATAAATATCATTTGGCAAAATATATGAGCTGGCATGCCAACAATCAGAATAAAGTTTTTTATCTCCACCATCGCCTAAGTGAGCCTGTCTTTTTCAATTTGCCCCCTTTTCTGGGCTTGTATGCTTCCTTTCAGCCAATAAAATGCTAAGATGTGGTGGCATTAAAGATAAAGAGAAAATTGACAAGAGGACTCTGTGATGCAGCGATAAGCAGAAGGTCTTTTGCCTGCTGTACACATTAGTGCATATCCCAAGAATTTTGGCCAAAAGTAAAGAACAGTATTTGAGATGCCTCTGGGTGAAGTCCAAATTAAGTTCTGTTTTTCAATATCTCCTTACTTGACTGATTCTCGTACAGACCAGAGTCCTTTTCTGAAAATCGAGAAGGATTGTACTCCTGAAGTTTCGTCTAAGCACAGATGAGGCACACACTGAATTCTATTCAGTATCCAGTACAGAACTTATCGAACATTCTTGGTTCATGATTCTCTCATTGTCTCAATAATTTTTTGCCCTTATGAAGAATTCTGCTTCTCTTAATAAGTAGAAAGGTCTAAACAACTAATAGTATAGTCTGCTCAGAGCTCACCATGTCACTGTGTTGACATTCTCTGTAGCATCCCTGTGAGCTGGCTGTGGCACAATGTGGCTCCTCACAACACAGGGAGGTGTGGTACTGTACACAAGAGGGACTCTGACAGAGTTCTTGCTGCTTTTAAATGATTGAATCAATCTAGGGAAGAAAATAATAAAAATACAATAAAGCGTCCACATAGCAAAGCAAAATGTCATGCTGTAACAATTAGGGTGCTTAACTGCAGAAAACGGAAACTACTCTACCTACTTTGAGAAGAAAAGTGTTTATTAAAGAGTATTGGGTTGCTCATAGGAGTTCTAGAAAGATCAAGGGAGCAAACTGGATGCTACACAGCTAGGATAACTGTGTGACTATATTGCAAAATTATTTAGTGAAAATCTCACTTTTATGTCTTTTCTGTCCTCCACTTAGCACCTGGGATCCCAGGGACTGTCCACAGCTGTACACGGCTGCCTCAGAAAGATAAAATGCCTCCATGAATTTAGCAGTTACCTCAAAATGACCTCACCTTGGCTACTTTTGCCTTCCAAGTCTCATAGGAGTTCAGACTGTTACTTGCAGGGGCCTTGATTAGAGGTAGAAACCTAGGTGAGAAGGAATCTGCAGTTAGTGGCATGGTTTCCTAGGCAGTCGGGAAAGGACTGGATGAGTGACACGTAATCCATGCCGGCATATCCACTGCAGGTACAAATGAACACAGTGGTTGTCAAGAAAGAGTAAGTTGTTTTCTTCCAGGGGTTGCGTAACAATAGGATTCACTCCATCCATCAGGAGCATGGGATGGTATCTCAATATACAGAAATGTGGGGATCAGTCACAATGGAAAAAATAAGGCAAAAGTGCAAAATTTCAGAGGTAGCAAGGCATCTGATAAGATTGAGAAAATGGTGATAGTTTTTTGAAGTAGAGTTTAACAAATAAGAAGAAGGAGCTAAAGTTGGGAACTTGGCTTGAACCAATGTGGTGAAGGACTTATGCTGGAACTGGGGGTCTCTGAGTACATGGTGATGGTTTCCTAAAGGTTGCTGATTAAAAACTAAAGGGAAAGTTGAAACTAGAATTGGAAAAAGTACTTGGGCATCTTCCCTCTCTATGCTCACTCCCTTGCTGGCATCATCTACGCCCTATGGCTCCAAAGGTGTCCGCATGCTAAAGACCCCTGAACTCATCTATCCATCAGCTGCTCCTCATGATAAGAATATAGGCATCTCATTTTCAACATGTCCCAGCTCGAACTTTTGGGTTTCATCCACTTTATAGTCTTACAGTCTTTGCATTGTAATAAATTGTAGATTCAAGTTTCAATTCTCAGAATAAAAATCAGTGTTTCCCCTGACTCTCCTTTTCATCTAACAGCGTATTGACTGCCAGAAAATGCTGTCTATTCTTCAAAAGACATCTAGAGCCTGACACCAGCTCATCACCCCCTCGGCTGCCACCCTATTCTAAGCCAGGATCACTTCTTGCTTAGGTAACTACAGGGGCTCCTAACTAACCTATCAGCTGCCAAACGTTCTCCTCCCAGCAACTAGAGGGATTTTACAAGGTTGACTCAGATCCTATCATTTCTCTGCTTAAACCCTCTAGTAGTTTCTCATCCTCAGAGCAAAACCCAGCAGCTTTACAAAGTTTGATTCGGCCCTTCACGGTTGGACCCCAACTCCTCCCCCTCTTGCTCTCCTCCAACCCCCACTTTGCTCACTGTGTTCCTGCCTCAGGCATCCCCAATTTTCTCAGAGCTTTCTAAGTACAACCCTGTCACAGAGCCTTGACTAAGAGAAACTGGCAGGGGTGAAGGTAACAGGCTCCATTCTTTGCTGCCCGCTATGTTTTATCCTGATAGCTAATCGCTGTTTCACTCATTTTCTTCAAGCATCTGCTCAAACTCCACCATCTTCCCCTCTCCCGCTGTGGCGGTGACTGCAGGCTCCCACTTGGCACCAGGGCTGCTGTCAGACCCCTCAGGAAGCCCAAGGTCATCAAAGAGAGGACTAGAAAGTACATCAGCACCAGTCTGAGCGCTATGCCAAAATGAAGCGTCACTGGTGGAAGCCCAGAGGCCCAGAAAACAAGGTGCACGGAAGGTTCAAGAGTCAAATCTTGACGCCCAAGAGGCGACGGGAGGAACAAGGAAACAAATCATGCTGCTCAGTGACTTCTGCAGGTTCCTGGTGCACGAGTCAAAGAGAAAAAGTGCTTCGGGTACGCAACGAGTCTCACTGTGCTGAGAGGCCTCACAAAGCCGCCTCCAGACACAGCGGAACCGTGGTGGAAAGGGCAGAGCAGTGCCACCGAGTCACCGGCCCCCACAACGGGCTGCACAGCGCGGAGAAGGGATGGCCCGCCAGCCTGTGTGCGCCTGCGCTGTGTTAATAAAACCAAGAAACTTCAAAAGACTAAGTAGAATCTCCTCAAACCCCACACCATCAGAGAAGACGGCTCTAACTGCTCTGTGTGAAATAATGTGGAACTATCGTTCTATCTTCGTGATTGACCTTTATCTCATTTTACCACTTTACATATAAACTGTTGAGCCTGCACATGAGCAAAGACAGTGTCTACCATATAGCAAATGCTTTCTAAAGTGTTTGTTGAGTTACTATCTGTCGAGGGCAGATTTATAATGAGGACACACTGTAAAATAAAGAAGTATACGGTGAAGTGGTACATGGTATTTTTTCACTTTCATATCTGTAGGTCCTCACCCTATCACTCAAGTCATGGTTTATACATGAAAAATGTAAGGAATTCTTGACAAATATGACTATCACATGAAGCAATGCATTCTACAGCAGCACTGGATGTAGAATAGCTGCGGTGGAGACCAAATAGGTGGAAACATACACTCTGATATTGTCCTCATTTTTAAAATGAGGAATATTGGATTTAGCCGGAGAAAGTTACTTCACTGGCTCACAGCTAGAAAGTGACAAGTGAGAACTACCCAAGTATCTGAGACTATCCCAATTTCTTTGCCTTCACCCATCATATCAGGCACATGAATAGCAATTAAAATGCTCTGTAAAGAACTCAGCCTACAGCTCACCCCCTCTGTCTGCTTCTCTTAGTTGAGCAGCTGTACCAAAGTAGCCAGAAAGATTTAGGATGGTGCAGCTGCTGAATTCAAGCGATAAATGATCTGGGGTTTACAGTGTGGCTTGGTGTGGAAGCACCTTCCATGGTAGTGCTTATGTGTGTAAAGCTGAGTGTTTCGGTTAATAGTAATCACGGTGAACAGTAATTCCGAACACAAATTTGATCAGTGACTTAAGAATACATTCTGCTGTGTGTGATGGGGAGAAATCTGACGCGGAGTGAACATGAATGGGAAGGTTGTGGGAGATTTTTTATCAACAGGTATAACCTGTGTCTTGTGTTTAAATGCTTTGCATACATTACTTGAGAATGGGAATAATTTAGAGGAAGTGGAGGAAATGGTTTCCTTAATGCAGCAATCTAGATTTTATAGAAAGAGTGTCATACCCCTGTGTTAAGAAGATGTTCTATGACAGGTTTTGCAGTAGTTTGTGGCTCTTCATCCCCCGAGAGAGTGAAAAGGAAGGTGTCTCCCCTGGCCAGCCCAACAGACACAAGCCTGGGTATAGCAAACTTAATACTGTAAAGAGATTGAAGTATAAAAGTTGGAAAGGAAGTGTTTCTTGGAACAGTAAGATTGCCCACTTCCAATGATTCCCAGGAAGAAAAACAGAAGCACAGATTCTTTTCACTTGGAAATGGGAAAATAAGAGTTGACAACTGTATAGAAAGTATAATTAGGGAGGTCTAATTGTTCCCATCAATCGACAACCCAAACTCTAACATAGCTTCTAGAAAAGGAAGAAGATGTAACAACATATCATTGAGTTGCATGGAATTATTTGTGAAAGAACTTATCAGCACAATGTTGGCAATGAGGAATGCTCGACTTCCTCTGGACCTGTGTGTATCAAGTGACTGGACGAGTTCAGGCAATTAGCAGCACACCTGAAGTTTTTCTACTTACCTCAGTTATTGGAGCTCTCAGGTGAGAGATTTCTGAACCTAGATTATCACTAGAATTTAGAAAACCCTGTTCACTTTACAGGGGTAAAAATAACACACACACACAAAAATGTGTTTGTACTCCTTACTGAAAAACTTGTGTTCTAAACTCCTTACTTTTTTTCAAAATAAAGATGCTCACAATCATACCTGGAGGTTCTGATTTTGACTTTCAGCCAGCTTTTGGGAACACAAAATCATTGTCTTCTGGGATGTGGCATGCAGTGGACTGTTTAAAAAAAAACCCTGGTCCTATATGGTGATGGCACACGGGTGACTTGGTGATGGGAAACCCACGGGGATTACAATTGAGATGAAAAAAAAAAGTACAAAATGATGTAAAAATAAACTTTTATAAAAAACAAACAAACAAACAAACTCTGGTCCTCACTTGTTTCCTTACTATTTTTTTTAGCTGTCATGGGAACCAAACAACTCCAGTTCTTTGAAAGGTCCAGTTGACTAACGCACATTTCTGCTAATATGGTTCTGTACTATACACTGGGAAATATGACCTGGGAGCATAAAAATTTGGAGTGTCTGTGGCACTCCAACCTCAAACACCTGCAGTTTCAGCATGTTGTACCCCTGTCTAGGAAAATATCTCATCACTGCCTCACAAGTCTCACAACCTTAAAAAAATGGTTCCTTCTTTATCCTCCTTGAATATAATTATTCTTCTCTCACTCAGGAATAGAATGGCCATGTCTCCATGGAAAATAAATAAAAAGCACCTATATAGATGCATGTAAGCCAGCAAGCAAACACCATATGTCTAGAGGAAATTTTGAGTATGATTTCAGGCTTACTCCAAACCAACAACTCTCTCTACTCAGCAGAGTACAATATTCAACCTTTTCATGGCAGGATTTAGTATTCTTTTCAAAGCTACATATCAAAAACCCACACACAATGGAAACATTCCCTCTCACTGGGGCATCAAAGAAGACAGAACTTGCATCCGGGCTTTCTGAAATGAAGTCTTTTCATTGCATCCTCAGATATGCTCTCTGGGGATCATTGACTTAAAACCATGAAGAAAAGGGTGAGGGGCCATCATACCATTTCCATTAAAAGCAGTTGTTGGAGGCCATATTCCCATTTTTTTTCTCTTCTTCCATATTCCCAGTAAAGCTTGCATTCCAATAAAATGAGGCTCCCTGCAACAGGCCAGACAACTCTGTTCTTCCCCTTAATGCCACTTGCTTTTCAAGTGGGTGGTGGGATAACTAAGAACATTTGTTACTAGAACAGAGTCTCTTCAAAACCCCTAAAATTTTCTTTATGTGGGGATACTTTTTTCTCTATATAATTTAATTTAACTTCTTTGGGGAGAAGGCCAGTGGTCAGTTAAAAGTTACAATCCATCTAAATAACTAAAGTGAAATAGGAGTAGAGACTTTTCCATTTAGTACAAGAGTTCTGTTTGATTGACCTTATCCTGTGTACCAGGAAACACATAAAGCAGTGTAGCGACTCATAAGTAAATATTTGTATTTATTGTATTGTTTTTCTTTGGTGCAATTGTCCAACGCGGTGGTAGGCAGACTTCTAAAATGGTTCCCAGTGATCTCTGCCTCCTAGCACTGGTGCCCTGGTGTAATCCCCTCCCTTCGTGTGAGAGCTGGACTGAACGACTTGCTTCTAGTGAATAGAACTTTACAAGTAGGTTACAAAGGACCGTGATTTCCCTCTTGCTAACACTCTCTTTTGACGTATTCGGTTGTCCTGTTGTGACAAGTCTCTGGGGCAAAGAATGGAGGTGGCCCTCCAGCCAGCAACCTGCAAAGGAAATAAGTGAGTCCTGCCAACACCCTCAGGAGTGAGCTAGGAAGCCAGTCTTTCCTGGTTGAGCCTTGAGATGACTACAGCTTTCTGAGAGATTCAGAGCCAGGAGACCTAGTGAGCCATTCCTAGATTTTTGACTCAGAAGTTGTGAGATAATTTTCTCTAGGGCAATAGTTGCTAATACATAGACATTATTTTTGTAAATACTATCTTTGAACAGTGACATAAAGAAAGATATTCAAATCAAAACAGCACAGTTCATTTTACAAATTTTTGTAAAAGGAATGTGCATATATAATTACCATGCAAATAAAATAAAATTGCCAGTATCCCGGAAGCCTCTCTATGGCTCTCAAATCATTAACTCCATCTGTAAAATAATCATTATTTTGATGTCTATCATTATATGTTAATTTGCCTGTTCTTGGGCTCTATATATTTGAAATCCAGACTTATATACTCTTTCATATCTGCCTTTTCTTCTATAATCATTGTTTTTGATAATCATCCTTGTTGCTTGAGGTAGCAATATTTCATTTCTATTTTTGCCATGTACCACAATTTTTAAATGATCTATTGTTAATGGGTGGTTAGCTTCTGCTTATACACACACACACACACACACATATATACTTTTTCTAATTTTAGAAGTAATGATGCTATGAGTAGTCCTATGCATACCTTTTGATGCATGCATTTTGCAATTCTGTTGAGAATGGAATTTATGTGTCAGTGGATATGGGTATCTATGTATTGTGCTTTAGTAGATATACCTAATTGCTTTCCAAGGTGGATGTACTAATTAAATCTCCATCAATAATGTGTGAGAATTATAACCAACCCTTATCCCCATTCACACACAGTATTGTTGGATTTATTATTATTTTTTTAATTTTTAAGATTTATTTATTTATTCATACAGAACTGGGGTACAGGCCAGAGATGTGGAGGGTGAGAGGATTCACCAGGGACAGAGTGGGGAGCAGAACAGGCAGATCTACGGAGATACACTGTTGAGGGGAGCAGCGGGCGGGTCAGGAGAGGTCTGCCACGCCATGTGGTCACCTCTGGGGCAGGCGGGGATCGAACTCATGCGGAAGTGGCTTAAGTTTCTTAGTGCAGTGCTTTAACTTGCTGTGCCACAGGGAGGGCCAGTCGGATTTATTTTTAATTTCAGCCAATCATAAGTCTATGCAGTAGACTCTTATTGCAGCTTAGTCATTATTCTAAAAGTTAATGGCAATCACTTTTTCATAAGTTTAATGACATGTGTATTTTTCATTCATATAATATGAAGATACAGTTATCTTTTTAGTAAAAATTTTATCCTCTAGTGTAATATTAAGATAGATTAATACACATGAATATTCAATTGATTGAGCACCCTCTGTTGAAAGGTGTTTGCTTCTGCTTCATTGCAGAGGTGGTATACGAGCTTCCTAGGACTGTCCTAACAAAGTACCTACTGTGTGACTTTAAAAAGAACTCTGTTGTTTCAGTTCTAGAGGTTTGTCACCCCAAATCAAGTTGTCAGCAGGGCCAGG